TTTTTTTTTTTTTTTTTAAACGTCTTCCGAGTCCAACCTGAAAAGCTGCTCGGTGGGAGCGATCGATCGGGGAAGCAAAACGACTCAACTTATATCTGCGTGCACTGTGGCAAACTGTTTGTTTTTATGGACTGTAGGGCTCAACAAGCAGTATTACTTTTTAAAGATTTATAGATTTATACGCTCTCTAGAAAAACTGAGCCGTGGAAGCGTCGTTGTAATTTTTATCCCTAATAGTGATTGGATTTCCCATCGCTGACTCTTGGGGTCGCTGGTAAATTATGTAGCGTTCTATGAAACTTCCCGTTTGGGCTGTAAAGCGAAGGAAGTTGGACAGCTCCTTAGGAAATGTATTGACTTATTGCAACGAATTCGGAAGTTGTATTTGAAAGGAGGACCTCGCCACCTTGATTTTGTCCATAGCAAACATGTATGTATAATGGTTGCCAACGTTTGGTTTATCGTTTAAATATTAATAAAATTTTTAAATTTTATTGGAAAACCTGCCCTTCTGAAAAGGACTTTGGGTATTCCCTTTTTTTGTTGGTTTGAAAATAGACATGTTGCTCATATGATTTTCGGAATGGGATAGATAAAGGGGCTTGGGATACTTCATTTACAGCGTGTTGTTTCTCTCCCCTCAAAGTGAACAGTTAAATCATTTGTTTGGGTGATGGGTATTAGGATTTTGCTCTTTCACCCTGACAACATAGAACTTTAAAGCTCCCTCGCAGATGCAACAGGCCTGACCTTGATCTCTTTTATGAGATGGGCCTAGACAGCAGACCTCCAGTAAGCATGCAGCTTAGGTTGCTCTTGTGTCATTTATCATAGGTCTTTGATGTTGATGGAGTAGGTGTAATTCTCACTTACCTGTCTTTAGTGAAAAGTCTGATCACGTCATCTCAGCCTTAGCTTTCATGGACCTTCTGTGTCGTTACACGTTTGTATTTTTTATTCAGGGTCACTGATTACAAACTGAAGAACTGCATTGAAAAGCTGAAAGAGCAGGTAAGCTGCATGTAATATTTGGCAACCACTGGGCACAGCTGTAAGTAGTATATCCCTGCAGTGTAGTCACTGAATAGGGAAATAGCTTCCTTACAGAACGTCTGTGTTGCTAAAATGTTCTTTAAGCCAGTGGTTAATATTAAACATAGTAATAGTTTAATAGTAATTAGGACAGATTATGAAAAAATAGAATAGTGTTTATGGTTAATATTAAACATAGTGATAGTTTAATAGTAATTAGGACAATAGAATAGTTTTTGTGGTTAATAGTAAACATAGTAATAGTTTAGTAATTAGGACAAATTATGAAAAAATAGAATAGTTTAAAAGCTGAGATTTAATATCTGCATAATAGACACCCTACATTCTAGAACTCATAAATGTGTTATAAAGTAAAACTTTATTAATTAGGAATATACAGGGTGTCCTAAAAAATGTATATACACTTTAACAGCTGATAGCTCAATTAATGTTTCTTTTCAGATTTAATCCATTGGAATTAATAATTATTAAGTTCTGGAGGCATTTCCTCTGATTCGCTATCTTCATCTTCATTAAAAGCTGCTGCTACTGAAAGGGTTTGTGGAGCAAGAGTTGGAACAGTTTCTTTAGGTTTACTTGATCCAAGTTTGATGGATATGGCTGAGGCTTTCTTTGTCGTCTACCTATGGCAAATCCAAACTTGGAGATCTTTGTAGGCTTTGTTGGGACGTCTGCAGCTGCTTCTTCAGTTGATCGCTCCTCAGCGCTGCAACTGGAACTTTCCCTCCATTGCCGGCTTCCATCCCCAGTTGGGCATGTGCAGGAGGCAACAAGAGATGTTTCTCTCCCACATCCATGTTCCTTTCTCTCAGAAACAAAAACCAATCAAGTAAGCAAGTAAATAAATAAAATGGCACATGGCACCGTCTCTTTAAAAAACAAAACAAAACACCAAAAGCAGTTTATATGCCACAGCACTATTTTCTTGTAAAGGAAGGCACACCGGAGATAAATTTAGGATCAGCTCGCACGTGTTCAATTAGTTGCCTTGTTCCGACAGAGGGTGGCCGGAGATATGTCGTTTCTCTTCCTCCAGTGGCTCCAGCTCCCTGTGGCTTCTCCTCTCCCACCTTCCCATCCACCATTTTCCCCGCCGCCTCCCCCTTGATTCTGATGTATAAAATCAGTGGCAAAACTGCCATTTCCTGGAGCATTCTCTCAATCATTTGAGATTTTGCTTCCCGGCAATTGTCAGTCCAGCTCAAACTCATAAAAATCCTCTACAGGTTTGGTCGTTTCTTATGTCGACTGCCTGCCAGCCCCTACAGGATCTGCTGCCCCTTGTCCTGGGCCTCTCTCCCCTCACTCAGGCCCCTCCAGCCTCACCTTGATCCGGGAAGATGCCCAGTGTTCCTTCAGAGCATTTGCCACAACTGTGTCTGTGTCATTGGATGACTGTCCGCCTCACCCACCTCCAGGGGGCTTGGGCTGTCCACCTGCTTGACCTCCCCCGTATTCCCAGCAGGTAACACCCTGCCTGCTGGTGGTTGACTGTCAGACTGGTGGAGTAAACGAAAGGCTACACGAAGACTAGGCACCCGGTAAGGCGTGGGAGACAGAAGGCAAATACAATTATTCAGTCAAATGCTGGTAGGAAACGAAGCGTCATGGGCCAGCTGAGGACTCCCAGGAGCTCTGCCTGCCAGTGGGAGAGAAGGTCAGACGCTAACCTAGCCCAACCCGAGGTTCCAGGACCCAGCTTTTAAAATCTGCAGGAATTCCTGTGGGTGCCAGGGAAGCCTTGTTCTCGCTCCCACCTCAGATGTTGATACAGAATTTGGAGGCCCACCTTTCTTTTACATGCCAAAAGGTTCAAAATCTTTTGTTAAAAAACATTTTTCAGACTGACCTAAGTTATTAGTCCCAGTAGCAGAGAAGGAAATGCGTTTCTGTTAGAACGCCCCTGAACAGGGAGGGTCAGGGTGTGGTCAGGCCCCTGGGGAGGGAGGGAGCAGGGACTCCCAGGGCCCCTCCAGGAGTGTGCCTCCGAGTGGCTGCAGGGACGGGCCTGCCCAGCAGGGGGCGCTGGCGGAGCAGGAAAGGCGGCCTGCAAGCAGCTGGTGCAGCCCAGTCTCAGGACCTGACACCGGCACCCGTCGGGCAGTCAGGCCCTGGGCGCTGGAGATTCAGGCCTACGGGGCCCCGCCACCGTAAAGGGCTCACAGTGTGGGGACCTCATCTGTACCCCAAGGTTGCTCTTGCAGGGGGCATGGGAGGGGAGGAAGGTGGGAAGGGAGCACCCAGTCTGGCAGGCAGCAGACGAGGGCCCTGGCCTTCCTGCTGTTCCTGTCACCCCTCTCTGTTGGGAAGAACATGCTCATTTGTTTGGTTTTCTGCCTTCCAACCAGGGCAAGGAGCTGGGCCTTTTTCTGGTTTGTGCACCTGAGTCTGTGGCCCCTGGGCAGTGCCTGGCACAGAGCGGCCCTCCGAGCGCACCTGTTGAGTGAATGGAGGGAGCAGGAGGACAGGAAGGTCCCCGTCCCACAGGCTCCTTGGATGTTCACTCGGCGCCTCGTCCCGGCGGAACCAGCACACCTGTTTCAGTGCTTTCTCGGGGAGAAAGGCAGGCTTTCCCCACCCCTTCTCCCCCCAGGATACCTGCCACAGGTTCTAGGCTGCAGAAATGCTTCCTGTAGGCTTAAAATAACAGCACAGTGTTCCCCGGACGCTGTTCCTTGAGATAGGAGCCAGCAGGAGGGAGGGTTTCGGAAGGGGGGCGTTAGTGGTGAGACTTGGGAGGGCTGGGACATGCCGAGTTCAGGGGCCGGGCCCACTGCTTCAGACGGTGGTTCAGGAGGCCATTCAGGGGGGAAATGTAAGTGCTGATTATTTCACTAATTTAAAGAAATGTGGTCATTGTTTTTATTTATTTTTTTAATTTGTGCTAAAATATACAAAACACACAGATTTACCATCTTATGGTGCCCAGCTCAGGGCATTAAGCACATTCACATTGTGCAGCCGTCACTGTCACCACCATCCGTCTCTGGAACCCTTTCATCTTCCCAAGGTCACTCCGTCCCCATTGCAGCCCCCACGGTCCCCCCCCAGCCCTGGCACCGCCCTTCGACTTCCTGTCCCTGTGGCTCTTACGGCTCTAGGGACCTCTGCGGGTGCCACAGTGCAGTATGTGTCCTGCGGGTCTGGCTTATCTCGTTAGCATGATGTCCTCGGTCCGTCCACGTCGCACAGGTGTCGGGATGTCCATCCTTCCCGTGGCCGAGCCGTACCCACCCTGTGGATGGGCCACGTCTTGTGTGCTTCTGCTGGTGGATGCCGGGTTGCTTCTCCCTTTTGGCTACTGCGGGTAGCGCTGCTGTGGGCGAGGGAGTATAAGTAGCTTTTAGACCCCGCTTTCAATGTTAGGGGTTACACATGCGAAGTGAAATTACTGGAATACATGATAACTCTGTTTTCCATTTTCTGAGGAAGCACCACACTGCTTGGCACAGCAGCTGCCCCATTTTACATCCCGCCCACACTGACAAGGCCCCGTCCTCCACATCCCAACTTTTGTTATTTATATTTTTTGCTAATGACTGTACTGTAACGGGTGTTCGATGGTAGAAAGGCAGAGGTTTTTCGGGGTAGGTGGTGATGGAGATAACCGTAGCAGGCACTTGTTCCCTGTCTTTTTGCGTCTCTCTCCAGAGTCCTGTCTGGCCTGCCTTCCCCCAACCCCAGGAGGAGTGACTTATCTGGGTGCTGGGTGTAAGCCTCAGGCGTCCCTCGCTCCATTTCCCGGCCAGCGAAGATACTGAGTTGCAGCCAAAGCCTCCATCGGCTTCCTTGCCTCTGTTGGCTCCGGCCTGCTGGGCATGTGGGCAGTGGTCCCCCGGCAGCTGCCGTGGTCCCCTCAGGAAACCAGCCAGCCTGGCGTGGGCGGGAGGCCCAAGTAGAAGTGCTTTGAGCACCAGGACAGCCCCAGGTCCATTCTAGGACGCAGGGAGTGAAGCTTGGGGCATAGGACACAGCTACATGTTGCCCCTCGGGCAGCAGCTGACCTTCAGGGAGTGCCCGTTACCTGAGGGCACAGGTGAGCCCGTGGAGACTTGGTGGGGACGCGCTCGCTGGTGTCACCCTGTGCACTGAAAGGCTGCCGGTTAGACCCAGGTCAGGGCACATGCCAGGGTCGCTGGCTTGGTCCCCAGTAGGGGGCGTGTAGGAGGCAGCTGATTAATGTTTCTCTCCCTCTTTCTTCATCTAAAAAAAAAAAAAAAAAAATTAAAAAAAAAAAGACTTGATGGGGATACACAGCCTGCCAGACACCCTCGCCAGCAAGAGGCAGAGGCGGGATGCAAACTGCCTTCATGGACACCAAAAACTTGGGACTCTCCAAAGAAACCAAAATAGGTCCTGTGGCACCTGGGGCTGCAGACAGGCATTGAATTACACCTGAGAGGCCAAAACATGCAGCCTTAGGGGACAGGCCACCTGGGAATCTGCTCACAGATGGCACGCAGACCATTGAGACAATGAGTGGGACCTTCTCGGTGTCTTTTTTAGTTTTGTTTTGGTTGGTTTTCCACTCACTTTGAGTCAAATTTGCTGCCTTTTCTAGTTCCCTAAGGTGGAAGCTTAGGGGTTGATTTGAGATCTGTCGTCTAACAATGCATCTCACGCTGTGCGTTTCCCTCTAGGGACTGTGCCACTGCCTCCACGACTTCTGATAAATTGTATTTTCAGTTTCATTTAGTTCAAAACATTCTTAAATTTCTCTTGAGGTTTCTTTTTTGACCCATGTGTTATTTCCTTAGCAGAGTGTTGTCTCCTCTCCAAGGATCTTGGGATGTCCCAGCTCTTTCAGTGACTGATTTCTCATTTAATTCCACTGTGGTCTGAGGGCAGATGTCGATTTCCACCCTTTTAAGTTAAGGTGCATTTATGGTCTGTCTTGGATGTGGTCTGTCTCGGACGTGGCTGTCCTGGTGAATGTTCCATGCGAGCTTGAAAAGAATGTGTATTCTGCTGTTGGGTGAAGTAGTCTCAGTGTTTTTATTTATTTATTTATTATTATTATTATTATTTTTTAAATTTATCTTTATTGATTTCAGAGAGAGGAAAGGAGGGGAGAGAGAGAGATAGAAACATCAATGATGAGAGAGTCATTGATCGGCTGCAGCCCACAACCCAGGCATGTGCCCTGACGGGGAATCGAACCCTGATCGCCTGGATCCTAGGTTGATGCTTAACCGCTGAGCCACGCCCGGCCGGGCTTTATTTATTTTTTTAACTTTATTTTCAAGTAGTTTTAGACTTGTATAGAAGTTGCAGAAATAGTTGAGAGAGCGCCCCTGGGCCCTGCCCCTGCCCCAGCCCCTGGCGCTTACATAACCGTCAGGCACTGACCTCGCCCAGGACGCTGGCACTGGCACTGGCACATGCTGCTCACCCAGCTCCGTTCGGAGTTCTCCCGCTTTTCCACGGGCTGGGGGTCTCACTCCCACAGGCCCCCAGAGCCCGGCACCTGGTCCTGCCGGTGGTTGGCTCCAGGCAGTGGGAACCTCTGAGGCCTTGACAGTTGGAGGCTGGGGGGA